CTCACAGTGTCTGGACTTAAACCCACAACCTTCTGGGAAAGACACACACGTTTCTCGAACTATTACATCAGCTCCAGGCAACTGTTTTTTTTTTCCACGTTGACTCCAGTCAGAGGCCTTAATTTCAAATACAGGATTTGATAAAACCAGTCAATTTCTTGGTTGTGTCATCAACATCAATCTGCTGCGGTGACCGCTGTAAAAGGGCGGGGCCTAATGTGATCAGTCAATATATAAAGTATATTGACTGGAAGAGTGGCGCGGCAACAAACGCTTGGAGCTTCTAACATGACGCGGCTGTAGTTGTAACAGTTTAACTCTGAGAGCAGCATCCAAACAGCATCGACTTTATTAGGAAGTCACGGCCCTGAAGTAAAGCAGAGAAGTTTGCGAACACTGGCAGAAACACGACACAGGCGTGTCAGGGTTTTTATTTCCACGTCTGTAACGTTTGTGACTGTGCCGTAACGGTGATAAGAGGAAACACACAAAGCCTTTATACTCAACTCTTTTTGAAGTATTCCATGGAACAACATTACAGAAGGAGATTTCAAACAGGCTTCTTAACATAATCATGTACTGTAGCCACACACACACCGTGATCCAGGCCAACCTCCTGATCTGCATGTGTTGGAGTTTACTCTGTGAGTAAAGTCTTGGCCTGCAGACCTACAGCGCCGGGGGATCAAGAACCAGGCTGACAACCGCTGACCTGCCTGCTCCTTTACAAGGAAAGATCAGCTCTCAGGCTGCTACTGCTTTGTGGCCTGCTGTTTCAGGGTTGTGTCAGGGATTCCACAATAAGTGCAATGGGGTTCACCAAGCAGCTGGGGGGCAAATGGAGGCAGAGTGAGGGTTGAAGCCTGTGGGCCATCCTCTCAAAGACAGGACGTCATCAGTCAAAGCTCTCAAAAAACCATTTCCAGCCCCCTAAGTGGGACAAACTTTCATGCGTGCTGTGACCAAATGGAGGCAGTGTTGCCATGGATACAGTTGAAAGCCAGAGGCAAGCCCAGGTTTTTCTAATAAGACTTGAAAAGGCTAGTGGAAGATTCTGTGGTTTTTCAGCGACTCTGACAGGCATGTCATACAACTCAATTTTTAGAATTGCTTAATTCCTTACAAATCTTCTGAAACACATGTACGACGGGGAATTAGAACGAAACATTACACAACCACCCTAAAGAATGCAATTCTGAAATGATAGTGGAATTTGAAACAATGCATTCGACATGATGTTGATGACGTCGTTATATGGTTTGTATTATCAAAAGCTGGGGGTGAAATTAAACTACAAGCGAAATAAAATGGTTGCTGACAAAAGTGAAACCACATAAAACGGAACGGAAAACCGTTAATGCTCAGTGGGTCCAATTAAACAGCTGGTTAATGACTGGTTATCGGAAAGAGTAAAAAACATCGGGCCAGGATACAATTCTTAAAGGGAGAGTAAGAACGACAAATAAACAAAGAGAACGCAGTAAACGTGGTTGTTGACAGAACAGGGTCTCGTAGTGTATATTCTTACTGCGGCCAAAAACTGCAAAAGCCGTAGGAAGCTCACACTGACAACATACACCAAGAAAGGTGAGATCCTCGGCGGAAGTAGTTGTGCAGTAGGAGGCTTTGTTTTTTTTTTTGTTTTGTTTTTTTTGTATCCAAAAAAAGCCCAAACCTTTGTTTTTTGCATGTGTGTAAGGGCGGAGCTCCATGTAACAGGATCTCAACATGAAGGGAAAAGTGGGTTCAGCGCAAACCTCTAATGAGAGGGAGAACCTGATCAGAGTCAGATGGGGAGCCCCGAGCGAGCTGCCCCCTGCAGAAAGTGCCGCCTGACACCCTTTGTTACCTCCAAGTGAGCTGAGACCAGCCCATGAACCATGTAACTAGGTGGTTTCCAGGTTAATGAAAAGCTGTAACTCTGGTCTCACTGTCTTTCTGCAAAAATGACGACTTCCCTCGCGCCCTGCACCACACCCTCCATCGTCACCCCCACATTCCTGACACATGGAGTAAAAGTGGGGGTGGAGGGGGGGTCTACAGGGTGGGAGTCTGCAGTAATTAACTGTTTACTTTGTGTGAAGTACGCTACATTTACATTATGGACACGTCGTTATTAAGAACAATTCAACAACGCGTGCAAAGATTAGAATTAGAATTGTATAGTTTGTGTTAAAAAAGAAAGAGTGAGCAAATAAAAATCTCATAACCCTTAAAACGATGCTTTTGACAATATGTTTACTAACATTCACACTGGAGACTTGTTGTGATGCATTTGGAACAAACAGCATGTCTTCATACAAAAAGATGGTCCAAACGTCATTGTTTTTAGCAGTGGACCTAAACCATGTGGATAAACTGCATGTTTGGGCACAGATCTGACAGTTTAGCCAAATAATGGACATTTCATACACAGCTCAAACAAATATTGTTGTCAAATTCAGAAACTCATTCAAACACCTACAAAGACACAGAGGCTGCAACTTCATCCAGTCTGTAAAAACGACTCCAGTTTTACACATTACTGCTCCTTCACAACGATGAAAGAGGTTGTAAGTCAGGGTGTTGGAAGGTGGGCTCTGCAGGAGACCCTCAGATGTAAGATAGATGGACTTGTTAGCAAAGGTGAGTAACAGGGGTCATGGCACAACTGGTCAGTGAGCACACCATGGGGAGCAGAAGTGAAACAACAAAGGCCAAAATACACACTGTGAATCACATGAGAAGCCTCTCACCTTGAGGTGGTGTAGGTGGAGCCACGTCCAGAGTCACCAGGTCAGATACACCGGGTCAGACAACACACAACGGAGCTGCTGAGATGAGTTTTTTTTTTAAATTCTCCCACCAAATAACAAGAACACATTTACGGGCATCTTCATCAGTTGGTGCAGAGGAGACTGCTGTAGTAAAAAAGCTAAAACCTGCCAAACAGTTTTTGGACTGACCACAGGTATGAGTGGAGGGACTACAACCATAAACCAGAGACGGAACAATCCTCATCAGAAGGGTGAGTAACTATCAGCTGTCACGCATCAACACATTTAGAAGGTAACAGAGTAAGAGAGGAGAGGGAGAGAGAGGTTGATTCTGTGTTGGTGGAAAAAAAAAGATTCACTCCATTTGCTGTTCCACTTGAGCCAGTGGACATTAAAGCAGGAGCTGCTGCCTAATAAGAGCCATGCCGGTGGAAGAGGGAGGGAGAGAGAGAGAGAGAGAGACTGAGCCTCAGTGGAAGTGTGTCTGAATGACTCTAAGGCATACGTGTCAAACTCAAGGCTCGGGGGCCAAATCCGGCCCGCCAAGCCATTTTGTGTGGCCCGCGAGAGTTTCTTTGAATGAAGTAAAACCTGAGAAATAAAAGTTTTTTTATTACAACTTTCTTTAATTAAAGAAAGTAAATGGATATGACTGGACTTTCTTTGAATGAAGTAAATTAGTCAAAATTAAGCACATTTTTTAACTATGTCCCACTGCAGCGTGGTACCAAATGACCAATGGACCGGTACTGGTCTGCGGACCGGGTGTTGGGGAGCCCTAATCTATACAGAACTGTATTGCTGATGTGGCCCCCGGTGAAAATGAGTTCGACACCCCTGCTCTAAGGCGTCTGCTATAAGATGCTAGCTGCCCTTAGTGTCCATATGAGTTGGTGTGTCCGCTACATACAGAGTAGCTGTGGATTCAAGGTCCAAGACTGTGAAGTAAAATATGCTTAGGTTGATAAAGTGTTAAAACGTCACCTGTCCATGGTTGTGTTCGTTGGTCAGAGACCATTAAATCGACATCTTGTTTCTCCTTTCGCTTTAATTAAAGTACTATTTTGCAGTACAGGTTTGACTCTGATGTGTTACCCATAAAAGGCCTTATTCTCTCTCCATTATTGAACACCAATATTCAATCATTGTTACGTTGATCGTTCGAACCCGAACTGCAGCGTGTGGCAATACACAAAAACCAGTTTAATAAACCTGTCTTAATGTATAACACTTCTCACATTTTTTTAAGGGAGGCCATTACAAAGAAAACACTCCTCGATGCACTTTTCACCCTGACCCTGTGTGACAACGGACAGACAGGGCTGAAGACTTACCTGTAATAAAACCCCATCGCCTCTCCACGTGACCATAAATCACATCCTGTGCCTCCAAAGTATCAAATATCCCCACATACAACCCTGCTCTCCCTCAGCTTTTATCCCCAAATGTCCTTCCCTCTGCTCTGGTGGTGGTAATGCCTTTAAAGTGCCACCATCTCACTTTTTTAAGAGGCACACAGGTCAATTTATTCACCAAGGAACTGCTGCCATAAATGACAGAAGAAGCAGTACAATTTACTGACAAGTAGTGGATGGGGCAGAGGGGCTGGGAGCAGAGTCAGAGGTCTCGGCTGGGCCTGTGAAGGACTATAAAGCTTTAGTAGTAGCCCACGACCTGTTTATGGCCGACTGAGACACTGTGGTGTGAGGCTCTTGATCACTGCTCGACTCAACCCTGCTGCTGCACTGGCAAAAGGACGAGCTGGTTCATGGAAAAAGAAAAAAAAGAGCGAGCGGTGCAGTAAACGCACGTATGGCATCGTACATGTATCCAGATCTGTGTCAGGAAGTGCAGGCTGAGCCAATGAAAGGAGCATGTCTGGTCTGCCTTTTTTCTTGGATTGCGTAATAAGGTTAAAAATGATTTGAAAACGTAAAACATCCAACATTAACATTGTGCGTGGAATGAATGGGTAAATGAAGCATTTAATTTTCCACAAAACGTCTCAGGCTTTTGGCTTTGATGGGCACACTGGTGTGTGGAAAATGGAGGAGAGCCAGAGCTATGGGAAAAAACAAAAAAACAACAACCTGGTATGTGCTGAACTTCACTCTGCAGACCCACATATATCCACCAAGAGGATTTGGAGCAGATGTGGACTAAAATGGCCTCCTCACCAGCTCATACCTACGGATACACCGCACAAACTGTGCTGTGTGTCTGTGGGTGCAGCGTGTGTCTTACCTCGTCTTTACCACATCGAGGGGGTGCATCAGGCAGATCTCAACCAGACCTAGGAAGAGACAAGACAGCCAAGATGAGTAACTTCAAGAACACAAAGATGTTTTTAAAAAAACATTGTTGCTATATACACTATATATATATATATATATATCTATATATATATATATATACATACATATATATACATATACATACATATATACATATATATATACACACATATACATACATACATATATACATATATATATACACACATATACATACATACATATATACATACATACATATATACATACATATATACATATATATATACACACATATACATACATACATATATACATATATACACACATATATACATACATATATACACACATATATACATACATATATATACATACATATATATACATATACATACATATATACATATATACACATATATACATATATACACATATATATACATACATATATATATACATATATATACATATACATACATATATACATATATACACATATATACATATATACACATATATACATATATACACATACATATATATACACATATATATACATACATATATACATATACATACATATATACATATATACACACATATATACACACATATATACACACATATATACACACATATATACACACATATATACATACATATATACATACATACATATATACATATATATATACACACATATACATACATACATATATACATATATATACATACATATATACATATATATACGTACATATATTTATAAAAATCATGAACCCTTTTTTTAAAGAAAAGTTGAATTTCCACAGTATTTGTGAAGAAGAGGTGACACCACCTGGTCAGTACAATGAGATACAGACTCCTTATGTAATAAACCCTGTTCCCTGCAGTAGCTGGAATATACCTGTGATTTCCAAAGTGGGGGGCGGGTCCACTCGAGGGGGCACAGAGCTGTTCTTTAATTGTATTGTACTGTAATTAGAATATCAGTGTGTATGAATTACAGATTCTTTCATTAAGTTTAGAGTATTTTTAAAGCAACAGTTGCGACTGTGTTGTCATGGGGGAGGGGAGGACAATAATCCAG